TGTTGCTGTTGCTTCACTCGATGGTGGAGCAGAGAACAGAGTCATGCCTTTGGGGCACTAACTTGGCACAGAGCAGTCTCCTGTCCCCGCAGCGTCACCAGCTGCCACTGCTCTGCCTCCTGAACATGCTGCTGGTTTGAAGGACCCCAAACCCTTACTGGGATTTTGAAAGCCCTGCACATCTTCAGTTGCATCACATGGCAACGAAGCCTGCAATGTGTGGCTGGTGGGTGTCTTCTGTCACTGCATGTGCAGGCGTGTGGAGGTGTGCACGGTTTACACTGGGACTCTAGGGCAGGGCCCTGCTGTCTTCGTCCTTGGAGTCCACTGCACCCTTTCCTCTCCCTGTTGTCTGTGGCTGCTGCGGTCTTGCATTTGGCTCTTTGCAGAAAAAGCGCCTGGGTCTGGCGGGGAGCCTTGAGGTGGAGACTCAGAGAAGCAGCCTCGGGGCACCCAGAACTCCTGCCTGCGATGCTTCTTCAAGGCTTCCTCCTCTTCGTGTATTTTGGATCCCACAGCTCTTTGGGAACTGTGGGCTGCGGGAGTGGGTTTCCTAGTGTAGTTAAGGCGTGTGGGCCAGAGGGGATAAGGCGAGGAGGGTTTGGAAGGGCCGCTCACCTGGTGAGAGCCGGTGCATGCCTCTACCTTCCAGGTGTGTGGCTGCCTACGCCCTGTCCTAAAGCGTCCTCGTAGCTGCTCTTGAGGCTCTGAGGAGGCACCGGGCACTCTGTCTGGCTCTGCCTCCTGTGCTGAAGTGGAAGCCCGGCCCTGATGAGTGGCCTCGCTGGTGAGTCGTCTGCCAGCTGCGGGCAGCCTTAGTTCCTTTGTACCCGTTCTGTGTGTTCGTGGGCTAAACCTTCTTTTCATCAACGAGCCTCCAGTCGTGCTGCATACAGTTTAGCACCTGCTTTGTAGCACTGATGCGCTGATGTTTCTGAATGCTCACACAAGTCCATTTTATGAGTATCCTGAGCAATTCCCCTTCTATACAGAACCGTTTAAACCACTCAATTGCTCTTTTTAAAAAAAATTGTGGTTTCACTTATTGTTTCAAAAATCTTAACTGATACTTAAAATCACACGTATTTACTAGGTCGCCTGTATTTACGAGTACCATGTGATGTTTCCTGCCGTGTACATTTGTGACGCTCAGATCCCCGGAAGCACACTGGTTTCCTTGGACAGTGATTGTTTTCCTCTGCAGTGAACACATCCGAACTCTTTCCTCCGGCTACTCAGAGTTACAGTGCAAGAAACAAGGGAGGGGATATGGACAGCTCGCGTGGTCACAACTCACAGGGGCCCTGGCATCCCAGGGAGATCTTACAGTGAGGGGTGCAGGGGTCCCTCCTCCCAAAGCGGGAATCCTGGTTGTGTGAGGGGCTCCAGTCCGCTCTGTGAGTGAGGCTGAGAGGAGGAGAGGGGGGAGAGCAGCAGCTCTGAAGGCCCAGCCACCCCACAGCCGTGGCACCACCCTCCCAGGGCTCCCCTGGGCCATATCTTCTCCTGTCCATAGCCAGCCTCCACCAGGAGTCCCCAGGCAACAAGAGTCCCCTCCTCTTGGGGGAGGTCTGTTTGCCCCCTGGTCTGTGTTAGAGCCAATTCCCAGAGCTCCTGCAGACACCTCTTGTTTGTACCATACAAGGTCCAGACACTAGAGTCACCCTGCCTGCTGGCTTTGCTCCTTCCCATGGACTGATCTCCTTCACTGAAGTGGGCCTTTCCGTCAGGTGCTGGGCTGTGAGATCGGTGGCTCCCAATTGCCTCGTTAGAGGAAAGGGTGGACTGGGCTGGTAGAATGAGGACGACGGGTAGCCCCTGGTGGAGTGTGTGACAGGCTGGGGCGGGGTCGGGTGATGGAGAGGGGCCTCAGATGGCAGAGGGGGCTGGGTAAGCCTCAGCTAACTGATGACCGCCTGCCTGTCGCCATGACGACACTGGGCGGATCTGCAGGAAAGGCCCACAGGTTGCTCCTGGGAGGACCTGGTGGCCCATCCACAACCGGGAATCACCCTGGTATGTCCCACAAGCCCGGCCTGGCCCCGGATAGCCCCCGTGTAGGGGCTGGGACCTCTTCACTCAGTGCCCCGTCATCCCTACCCCAGGCCCCACGTCTGTGCCCCACGGTGAGACCTCTGTGGCTTCCTCTTCCCCTGCTGTGCTCTCAACCTCATAAAGTGGAGACCTTGGCTGCTGGCAGTTTCTCGGCAGCTTTTCGTCATACAAAGCCCTGCTCAGAGTACAAAGCAGCATCTCTGCTTGTGGTCCAGGTCAGCCTTTCCAGTCCCAGATGTTGCAGGCGCAGTGTCCCAGGAGCCTGTTAGCGGGGCTGGCTCATGGTCCCCAGTCCTGCCGGCTCTGGTTCCAGAGCTGATAAGGTGCCACCGGCCCACAGCAGAACAGGGGCTGGCCTTAGGACTCTCCATTGGGGTGTCCAGGGGGAGACGGTGAACCCCGGGACCCTGAGGCTGAGGCAAGCAAATGCTGAATCTACGTTAGTGTTACTTAAAAGTGTGCATCTTCGGCAGTGTGACACATGCTTGTAAGCCCAGCACCTGGGGAGGCCGAGGCAGGGGGATCATGAATTTGAGACTAGGCTGGGCAATTTAGTGACTTAATGAGATTACAATTTTTTAAGGGCTGAGAGCACAGTTCGGTGTGAAGGGCCTGAGTTCAGTCCCCAGCACTGCAAAGAAAAGAGTGGGGTGCATTGAGGAGGGTACAGGGCAGTGGATGTAACAGCAGAGAAGGCACCAGGACCCCCACCCTGGCCTCCAGGGGCTTGAGTCGGTTATTTTGGGCATCACCCAACACGAAACCATCCTGGAAAAGTCACGCCCCATCCCTGTGTCTGATGCTTCCTGCGTCTGATGCTTCCTGCCTCATCCACCCTCTTGGATGGGATTTCCAGGCAGACTCTCAATGCATTCTGGGAGTGGGTTGAACTTTCTCTGAAGCCCTAGTGGGCTGCTGTGTTTCCTAGAGGGTATTGGGGAGCACAGCACCTGTAGGGATCGAGGGCCACCGCAATCTCTGGTGTCTGCAATCCCTGTTGGGGCTGGGATGTTGAGAGGCGGACCCCTAGGACATGCAGTGGGCACCACTGAACCTCGGGGCTTCCAGAGACCTTGAGGGGCCACTGCGAGGAGCAGGGAGCTTCTGTCCACTGTCCATAGGCATTTGCTTTCCTCTGGAGAGACGCAGGGAGTTTGTGGGTTTTCGGGGGATGGGCAGGGTGGGTTTCAGCAGTGTCCCACACTGCTGTCCTGCTTTCCCCGGCTGAGGCCGTCTTTCTGACTGGGTCTCCCTGGATCCACTTGCAGGTCTGCATGTTGCTCAGTGAGAAATACAATTACTGCCGGAAGGAGAGAGGACCCCATGCCAGAAAGCTGTGTCGGGGAAGTAGTATCACTGGAGATAGCTTAGGAGGCCAGGTTTGGAGCGCTTCCTTGGGCAGGGCTTTTAGGCTGGGGATTTCATTGTGGGCCAAGGGCTTGTGCTGCCTCCTGGGGGTCCACTGAGTCCAGCAGAACAGCGTGCTGGGGCGTGGACTTCCGACACGTGGGATTCCCGCCACCACACCTTCCCTCCATCTCCAGTGTCACTGGGCAGGCAGTGGGACTGTGGGCAGGGGGCATGTCTGGCGCAGAGCTGCATGGATTCAGAGAAGAGAAGAAGGGGAGTTGGGGACAAGCCAGCAGAGGCCAGCCCAGAGCCCAGTGGAGGAACCCAGCTGCAGCAGCAGGTGGTGATGGCCAGGAGGCCCTGTTCCACTCACCCGAGTCAGGTGCTGGCCGCAATGTTGGGGCCTTGCTGTGAGCTCAGGTAGTGCAGAGGTGCACTGTTCCTGCTTTGGTGCATGCACACACACACACACACACACACACACACGCATGAGTGTCTGATTATGTGTGTGATAGTGCAAAACTTATGGAGGCTGCTGTGTCTGGGTTTCAGTTTTCATCAGCCCCGAGCTGAAAGCCCCTCTGAGCCTGTTTATTTTATCTGCAGGTAGCAGATAAACAGTGGCAGATAAATAGCAGGTAATAGTCTTGCCATGTTAGGATTAGTGCAGAAGAACCCGTCTGAGGCCATTAGTGCATGGCAAGTGGTTGGGAAGCGCTGGCTGCTTCTAGGGTCCCACCATCAGCTTTCACCAGGCGAGCCCAGTCCTCCGTGCGCTTTCTTGCTCCCTGCTGGAGTGTTTGCTGTTTGGGGTCCTGGTCCCCCTGTGCAGTGGGATCGGGTTGGGCCCGGGGCTCTGGTTAGCAATCCATGTGGGCAAGCACTCGGGACCTTCCTAAGTATGCTCCAACCCTGCATGGTGCTAACCCAGTACTCTGAGAGGCCGAGTCAGGAGGGTTGCAAGCCAGAGCCCAGCCAGAGTGTGACTTTAAACAAATTTTTAAAAAAGGACTGGGGATGCAGCTCTGGGTGAAGACCCTGGGTTCAAACTCCAGTGACACACAGTACAGTTCCCACGCTGAGCAGCAGAAGTGCTACTTCCTGCCAATTACCTCGGGATCACTGCACCGCCGCCTCCACTTCTGCCCCTCCAAGGGGCTCTGGGAAGAGAGAGGAGCCTTCTTGAACCCCTTAGTGGGGGCAGAGGCTTTGCCCTGAGTCACCACTGATGGGTTGTTTGGACTGAATGCTTGGCTGCAGGAGGCCCCAGGGATGCGATCCAGAAATGGAAGGGCCTATTAAAGGAGAGGCTTGGCGAGGATGGAGAGCAGCCGGTGAGTGCGGTAACTGGTGAGTAATCAAGGACCTGCTCCTGAATGGACCATTTTGATTAGCGCGGGCAGGTCAGCCTACTGTGCCCTGCATGAGTGTGCATGCTGAGGTGAAGCATGTTGTTCTCCCTTTATTCACGTTTCTTCTTTGTTTTTTTGAGACGGAGTCACCTGTATCCCAGGCTGACCACGAACTCACTATGTAGCCCAGGCTGCCCTCCAACGTGTGGAGTTTCTCCTGCTTCAGCCTCCCAAGTGCTGGCCTTATAGGCATGGGCCACCATGCCTGGCTCATTCAGGTTTCTTACATGAGAATCACAGGGGCAGGGGACATTCGTTTTGGGGCCCACCCCGGATGCCTCTTGTCTGGGAAGCCCGGGGCCCCGAGTGCTTGAGTGCAGACCTGGGTGGGGCCTCGTAGGATAATCTGGAGCCATCCTGGGAGGGCCAGGTTGCAGCCCTTCTGCTGAGTGCCCCCTCCGGGTCTGGGCTTGGGTTCCTGGGGCCTCTCAGGAGACCCACTGAGGCCCAGTGAGGAGAGGCCCAGGAGGGTAGTGAGAGGAGGGCGGGGTTCCACTTGGAACTGTTCTGTCCAGAGGTCGCCTTCTCTCCAGCTCCTGGTAGTGTGGGGAGCCCTAGAGGGGTGAACCCCAGGACAAGTGCATTGCAGACTCGGCCACCCAGGCTCTGACCAGGGGAGCTCTGCCAGGGTGGGTGAGCACCACCAGGCAGGGCCGTGAAGGTGGGTACAGACAGTCTGGCCTGGGGCTGCCAGCGACTCTGCGATGTTCTTCTGCAGTTGTGTGTCCCTGGAGACCAGCTAGTGACAATGGTACCCTCCCTAAAGGAGCCAGAGAGAGATGTGCTGCTCAGCACCACCTTTCCTGCCCTCCACACTGTGTCAGGGAGGTAGACAGCTGCTGGCCTCTCACCCCAGCTCCTTCGCCCCTTGGGCACACCACTTACACACCATTTCTTGTCTAAGGAAAGGTCTGGGTGTCTGGTGACACCCAGACAGAGGCAGGTGGGTGGCGCTCAGAAGACCAGCTGGGGCGCCGGCTGCAGACACGTGAGTCTTGTGCAGTGTGGCCCTCCGTCCCCAGTATCCACCGGAAGAGGGTCTGCGTGAGCCCGTGAGCAGCTCAGTCCTGGTGTCTTTCCACCAGATTACTTTTGGCGGAATACAAGGAAGTGATTCTACTCTGATTTCGGCGACTCCCTCTGTGTTTCATCCCAGAGTGAATCCCCAGCCTGGGATCATCAGGGGAGTTAAGTAGCCACTCAAGCACATGGCCCTTGTTGGAGGGCTGGATCTTGCAGGCATGGGGAGGAGACCATGTGTGATGGTGATCAGTTGCTGTGAAGTGGTAAGCAGCGGGACAGAGCACAGCCACATAGCCCCAGAAGCAGATCCTTGCACCCCTGCTTCTCTGGTGGGAGCAGTGAGCGAGTGGCTGCAGCTTTGCAGATGGCCTGAAGCCGGGGAGAGATGCAGTTGTGGGCAGGGAGGAAGCGGGGGTCTGGGATGGCGGCTGACCTGTTCCCCGGAATAGCCCCGTGACCTTGACCGGGCACAAGGAACTCCCTAGCCAGCCCAGTGATCACCCCAAGTCTGGATTGGAGAACAGGCATTTGATGTCTGGTCCACTCTGTCCTTGGCCTGCAGCTGCCCTTGGCTTGCTAAGCCTCAGCTGCTGCTGCAGTGGCTGCAGAAGAGAGGGGGAATGCTGACCCCAGGCTCCTGGAGAGCTTGTTCCTGGCCTCTCCTCCAGGGCTCTCAGGAGGGGTTGGGGCCCAGGCCCATCCTACAGAGGAGCCTCGTGGGAGTTGGGTGACAGGCCAGAGGAGGGCTTCCTGGAGGGGCCAGGACTGCAGAGGCCACGTGCCTCACTGCCTAGATGACATTGGGCAGGGCGCAGCCACTGCTGGGGATGGACCCCCTGGCTGAGATCAGTGAGCACTGGTCTTGGCTCCAGTGTGTGTGTGTGTGTGTGTGTGTGTGACTGCTGAGCTGCTCTGTGCAATAAGTGTGAAGCACATGTCAGCGGTAGACAGAGCTGTATTTGGATCTGGATATCTGTGTATATGTCTACTGACTGCCTTAGAAGGCCCATTCGGCTCAGTATTAATACTTTCTCTCCCAGGACAGAGCATACTTTTGGAAGTCCTTTTCTATTGTGTAGCTGGGCAGTGACAGTGCCTGCTCCCGTGCGACTGCACACACTCACGTGCATCTGGAGGTTGATCAGCTGGAGCCTTGACACGGACGTGCATGCTTGTCTGCTCTTCACCTGGACTGTAGCAGTCAGGTTTCAGTCAAGGGCTGCATTGTTTTGGATCATTCTTCAGGACAGGAGCCTGAGGTTGGCCCTGTTGTTGCCCAGGGCCCTCTGGGAGAAGACAGGTAAGGGCAGGAGGTGGGCTTGGCCTCCCCAGCTGGTGCAGTGGCCCAGGTTAGTTTGCTGGTCTGGGGAAGAGCTTCAACCTGGGTTGTTGCTTCTGTGTGCTTTCAGAGCAGATCTGCAGGACAGGAGGCCCACCTGGTCTGGGCTGTGGGGTGAAGCCTGAGACCCTCTACTTGCGGGGAGCAGGGGGGTGAGAACCCAGCTGGGCCTTCTCTGTGGACTCGGGGCACCCAGTCCTGGCCTCTCCACGTGGTCTGTCCTCTCAGCAGCTCCTGTTCCCAGGAGGTTGGTTTTATCTGGGACTGGTGTGCTGCACAGGTTGATTCCAGTGGGGGACACCAGTTAGGAGCTCCGGGAATTGGGAAGTGTCTCTAAAGGCAGTGGTGTTGGGAGAGCTTGGCGTCCTTGTGATTTGCAGAGCTCTGGCCGCTGAGTATTGCAAGTGTTGGGAACATTTCCAGTGATGTTAACTGTCCTTTTCTTGGTTCTTAGCCCCCCAAGTGCTTGACCCAAAAGACCCCCCTTCATTCCCCCAGCATTCCAAGTTAGACCCTGCCTGGCTGTCCTGATAAGGAAACCGAGGCACAGAGGAAACACCAGCTTGCCATGGTCACAGCAGAGTGGGCAGGGCCAGGGCCAGCTGGACAGCTTGATGGAGGCTGGCACTTGGGTGCCGCTTCTCCACCTGTGCACAGCATCTTGATGTCAGTGAGGTTATGCATTAGGAAGACAGCTAACGTAGATTGGTTTCAGGATGGGAAATGCAGCCTTGCCCACTGTGGTTAACCGCTGAGTGCTTCCTCATCCTTCCTCCTGGGCAGAAGTTTTCATGGCCTGGGTGTCTTTAGACACAGATTGCCTCGTTTCTTCATTTCATGACTTTTTTGTGGGGGGCGGGTATCAGGGATTGAACTCAGGACCTTGCGCTTGCAAGGCAGGTATGGTACCACTGAGCTAAATCCCTGGCTCATCACTTATTTGACTGTTTCATTTAATGTTTTATTCATTATATATTTATATCAAATGTCACCACTTTCCCCCCTTTAAAACAGTTTTACTCTTTCCCCTTGAAAATTCTGTCTGCTTTCTTGTTACCTCTGCACCATCTGTCTTCTGCTCTCTGTGCCTGACAGGCTTCTGTTCTTTTTTGGTCTCTTGTGTCTTTCTCTTGCTTTCCTCTTTCTCTGTATCTCTGATGCATATGATTGATTCTAAGAATGAAGTGTGATGAGAAAAACCATATATTTCTATCTATCTCTATATATACACACATATATATCTATATATACATATATACATATATATACAAAACCATATATATCTATCTATATATATATTTTTTGTAGTCTGACCTCTTTGGCCCTTGAAAATGCCTCAGGCCATTCCTGAGAATATTCTCCTGTCTCCGTCCACTTCCTTTTCCTCCCTGCTTTTCCTGTGCTCTCAGCTTCCAGGAGAAGTAAGAGGACCCCAGAGAGGCCAACCCACTTAGCCTCACATGGAGTTCCAGGAAGCCCTGTGTGGCTTTCCCGTAGGAACAGTGTTCTGAAGGACTGGGCTGCATTCCTCACCAAGGACTTGGCCTCGAAATGCTCCATTAGAAAGATGCAACCTCTTCACCTGCCATGCCTTACAGCAGTGTGGCTGTGCTACCAGCTATAAATGTCCTGGACAAATTGATTTCACCTAGGGCCCCACAGTACCTTGGGGAGAAGTGAAGCACCTAGCATTTGAGCCCTGTGCGATCGTTACTGTAACCCTGTAGCTCTGTTTTTAATGTGGAAGTGAAAAAGGTCATTACGCATTTTTATTAGAGATTTCCCCTTTGTTCAGACTGTGTTGGAATGTGGGGGGTGGCTTTGCTGTCCCAAGAGTGTTTGGGAAGTTGTCCTGGGAGCAGGCGTTCATGCCTGTGTCCTGAGGTGCCTCCCTGTGCCAAGATAGCCAGGCCTTGGTAACCAGGACACCTGCTGATGGCTGGCGGGCACTGCCACCTGCCCGGTGGTGGATCGTGTTAGACCATCACCTGCCTTGATGTAGACATCATCCTCTGAGAGTAAGGAAAATTCGCTGTAGGAGGAGACAGATTGACCTGGGAGGCCTCACCCAGCTCCCCAGATGTGACTGCTGCGTGGTTCTGTGAGACCCTCCTGGAAGTGTTCCATGCCCACTGTGTTAGCCAGTGTCCCCTCACTGTGACAGAGTAACAGAAGCAGCCAGGTGGGAAGGTTCCTTTTGCTCACAGTTTTAGAAGCTGCGTCCATGGTAGTTGGCCCTGCTACTCAGGACCCTGGTGAGACAGGACGCAGCTGGAGAATTCCTCTCCTGGCCTGGAAGCCAGAGTGAGGCCTCACACCCATGCAGAGTGATGAAAGCCTCAGTGGTCCTCACTCCTGAGGTTTCCTCTGCCGCCCCTCTGCCTGCCAGGGACCACATGGGCCTTTGGGGGACGTTCGGGATCTGAACTGTGGCACTATGAGCCCCACTGTGCCATTTTTATTCTTAAAAATAGCAGCTTTATTGAAATACAATTAATGTTACAAAATACACCACCTTTAAAGTATACAATTTGATCGTTTTTAGTATATTTGTAGAGCCATGTAGCCATAATTTCAGTACACTTTGGTCTGTACCCCGTAGCAGACACTAAATCTCTTCCTCTCCCCGGTCCTGGTAATCTGTAATTGAGTTTCTGTCTCTGAGGATTTGCTTCTTACGGCCACTTCCTGTAAATAGAGCCGTGCCATGTGTGGGATTTTGTGACTGTTTTCTTCACGGAGCTTCACACCCTCAGGCTTCCTTTATTTTGCAGCAGGGGTCGGGATCTTCTTGGTTTCTGAGACAGAATGGAGCTTCCTCTGTGGTGTGTATTTCTACCTCACATTGTTGATCCTCTTCTCCGTCACAGGCTGGCGTAAGCTCCCACCGGCTTGTTTTCCCACATCCTGCCAGGAGGTGTTGTTTCTGCCTTTCTTCATTATAACCTGGTAGAGGGTGGAAGTGTTATTTTATTGTGGTTTCAATTTGCGCTCCCTTGATGACTAGTAGAGTTGAACAGTTCTTGTGTTTGTTATAGGTGGTTTGTGTATCTTCCTAGGAGAATGCCTGTTTGTGTCTTCTGCCCCTTTTATTTTTAATTTATTTTATTTTGCCCCTTTTAAGATTGTGTTACTTTTCTTTTCATTGGTGCATTGTAGGAGTTCTTTATATGTTCTGTGTATAATTGTACATGCATATGTGTTCTACATATGATTTTCAAATACATTCTTTCATTCTGGTTTGTTTTCATGTTCTTGGTAGTATTTTCTGATATACTAAGCTTTTTAATTGTTATGAAATCTAGTTTACCTGTTTTTTGTTTACCGGTTGCTTGGGCTCTTGATGTTATATTTAAAAACCGACTGCCTAATCCAAAGTCAGGAAGGCATACCCCCCAATACTTTGTCCTAAGAGTTGTGTGGCTTTTCCCCCTACGTTTAGGCCTTTGATCTATTTTGAGTTACTCTTTGTATATAGTGTGGTATATGAGTGATCCTCCATTTTTGTTTGTTTGTTTTATTTTTAAAAGAGTCCAAGAAATACTGTTCTTCATTTTGGTTTTTCCCTTTCTTGGGGTTTGGTTCTCTCCCACATCAGCTTCCTTAAATTTCTTTTTTGATAAATGTTTTTTTAAATGAGGTCTCACTCTGTAGTCTGGACTGGCTTTGAACTCAGTGTATATAGCCCAGGCTGGTCTTGAACTGACGATCCTCCTGCCTCTGCCTCTGCTCTGTGGGTTTTACCCCCCCATTGCCATGGCAGCCCGCTAGGTTTCTTTCTCCTGACGGAGCCCCTGCCCTTCCGTATCCTCTCTTATAGCAGACACCTGCTCGGGGCTCCGTGGTCTGTCTCCATGTCGCTCCCAGGTACAAGAAGTGCCATAGGATTGTGCTTGTGGAGTGTTTTAGGTGTGGGGTTAGCTGGCTTTCTCCTGCCCTTTGCTGGGGTCTGATGGGCAGTGGCTCCAGGGATGCCCCACCTGGGTGCCCAGAACCTCTGATTAAGTTACCTGATGTGGCAGAGGGACTTGCAGACATGGAAAGGTTAAGGACTTGGAGATCAGTGGCCGCGTGGGCCCCGGTGTCAAGGAGGAAGGCAGAAGGGCCCAGTCGGAGTGGGGGACTGGCTGAGCCTGCAGGAGAAGGGCCATGTGGGTACGGTCATGATGCAGGGGGCCATTGGCCAAAGGTTGTGGGTGCTGCCAGAAGCCTTTGGAAAAGATTAAGGGTAGGGGAAGGAAGTAAGGAGCAAGAAAAAATACCAGGAAAGGAAAAAATGGAAACAAAGTCTTTGTAAATAGGGGAGGGTGGAGGGGGTGAAGGGAGGGCAGGGGTAAGGGGAAAAAATGAGAACCAAGATGTGTCACGTAAAGGTACAAGATCCCAATGATGAATGTAACTGTACTGTATACCTAAAAAGTATCAATTAACCAATAAGATAAAAAAATTGAAAAAATATGTATAGGTGAACCAATTCATAAAGAGCACAGACCTGGAAGGGGCCCTAGAGGCCAGCTAGTTTCTACATTTTAGAGCTGGCGGTGTAGTGAAGAGAACATTGTTCAGTCACAGAGCAAAGACAGAGGTATATTTGGGGATGGAGGTGGTGATGAGGACCTGATAAGTGTTCTTTATGGAATTTTGTTCATTTTAGCCATGTTTGTTGTCCAGTAGATACAGTTACTATAGTCTTAATTCTTGAATAATTGATTAGCTGCTAGACCTTTGGAGGTGGGGCAAAAGTTAAACATAAAAAGACGTTGACCTAAAAAAAAAAGTTGAGTGGTGGGCGCTCCCTGGGGAGCAGCGCAGTGCCATGGACCTCCAATGTTGGCCTGGGGACACCCATGTGGCACTTCGTTCCCTAGGGCGGTGACAAGATAGATGATGGGTGTCCTTGCAGCGTGAGGACAGAGTTCACAGTCCTCCCTCTCTGGCGTTGGGAGCATCGGGTTTGCGTG